ATAAGAAGTGATAGTAAAGGTTTAAAGTAAAATAAACGTTAGTAAAACTTAAAATTCTTACAACGTTTATTTTAAAACTGTACTATCACTTCTTATTTTCTACTTCCAGCCAGAATTAAATGCTTTAACATATTTATGCAAATTGTCTTGCTAACGTCCAAGTACTTAAGATGTGGCTTTTTGCCAAGCGGGAGAGAGAAGGAGTTTTAGGAAGCAGGCCGCTTACGAGTTTTCACTCGGTTGCTGGTTGCCTTTAAGGCCAGAGGTTTAGCCCTCTTGGATATTTGGAAATGTATCGTAGTTTCAGAAGCTCGGCGTACTACATATGTACCTTTTTTTAAATAAAGGCCAGTCTTAGTGCTAGGCATTTGTATACTAATTCAAAGTTAGCTTTTAGTTAGAGTTTTAGTTAGTAGTTTTTAGATTCTTACGTTCAGACCACAAGTGGTTGGTCTCTGTATTCCGAAGTTCGGAAGTGCCTGTAAAAGATTGAAAATAAAAGGTTTCGTATACCCTTCCTGCTTGTGCTGTCTACTTCACACCTTCTTGAACATAGCTTGAGTAAGCTCCCTGTTCCTATTCAGGATCATTCATGTATCCAACGCAAATCAAGAAAAACAAATGTCCTTACAACTAACACAAGTTACAAGTGTATGCCCACATCAACGTGAAGTAATGTTCTTTATATCTGTGATAAACTAAATCTGGTGTTTTCAATATGAATTATTTCTGGAAATCACGAATTAATACATCGACGCGAAAAAAAGGGATCAGTCGTTCATTTCTCTTTCTAGATAATTCTTTGGCTCATTGGGTGAATGAGGCTCTTTACTCTGGGCAATAGAGACGTAGTATCAATGGTTTTCACTTCTAAAATTTCATATCGTTATCCCATCGCATATTGTTTTATCTCATAGGTCCAAAGTTCTGGTTTAAATTTAGACTTTCAAAATTGACGTTATTTTGATATTAAAAGTTAACAAAGTGCAATATTGAGAGAACGGTGTCACAGTACATGGTCAGGAACATGGAACAACGTGTTAAGATCTTAACGTGTTCTGTGCCTTAGAAGGATAACGACAGCATTTTCATCATTTAATGTGTAAGTTACAAATCTCTTATAATTACTCCACATTTGATATGGAATAAATTGTTGCTAGTTTTATTATTATCAAAATAAATAGATAATAAAGCAGATGTTTTATATGAATCACCTTTATCTACATATTTGATTATTTTATATGCAGTCACTCTATTCTACACGTTAGGTTATAAATGTAACTATTTTTCAAAATTACGGAAAAGTGCATGCAGATATTTGCCACGTATGGGCAATTCAAAATCCTTACGTTTTGCTACAGCTACGTCTGTCGTAACCGAATGAAACTATGTAGATAATTTTTTATAGACTCGTTTTGATAGTTTTATTTTTTTTTCAAGTTTTGCAGCAGAAATTAGTTAAGGATGCGTTGATCAGTAGCTCATTTTCATTGAGGTTATTAATGCAAAACTTTTTCTCGAAGATAATTTTGTATACACTGGGGAAAAAGATAGCAAAATATGTTAAGCAATTTAATTGTCTTAATATTCATACAAGAAGAGTACTTCGAGACATAAACTTCTTAATAAAACCTAGCCGTCTTTGGGACCCCATTTTTCTTAAAATAAAATCTCAAGAAGCTATACTTTCTTTTCTTTTAACCAATTCTATTTTTTGCTACCCATCCTTTTTTAATATGCAGAGTTCACAAATCAGAATAATTGCCAAAGAAAAATAATGTGCCAGGCCAAAATAATTAATAAATAGAAAAACTATTTTCACAAAAATTTGTCGCACAATAAAATTTGCTTTTATAGTGAAATATATCCAATTATCGGACTTCAGATCGTCAGTTTTAATTAAATTTTTCTGTTATTCTTTGCAAGTAGTATGCTTTTAAATTTATGCTTAGAGGTATTACTTTCCAATAAATTACTTAGCAAGTTGCTTTCTTATTTTCTTGTATCCCATCTTATGCTATATATGTTTAAAGTCCTCACCGTAATCACTAGCAGGGCTCACAGATTCACTTTTCGGCCTTGATAATCACGAAACTTACAAAAACATCCTAATAAACATGTATACACATTATATGAAAACATATTAACGAGCATACTTTTGTATGTTAAGCAAACGAAAGCACACCTACAAAACATACGCCAAAAAAGTTTGAATGCCATTCTTCATGTACCGAATTCTTGCATGATTCTGTAATATTTTCTGTTTATAATGCATAGATGAATAAATTTGCCTTTAAAATTTTTCCATATGACTGGCCTCCTGTGACAAGGTATATCATTCTTGAATGCATTATTATAATAAATCACCTGCATAAAATCGAAAAATGTGGCAGAGAAAAAGTACGTTAAGAATAAGATATCTAGGAATTGGTTTGCATCTCAGATTCTAGTTTAGTAACTGAAGTTACCTCGAATTATAAGCGACGGGGGGAGAAACTTGTAAACGGGGAAGGGAAAACTTAGTGGAAGTTTAGAAACCCTGCTGATGCTCTTGTGACCTAATGAATAAGACATCGGTCTCCTAAACCTGGGAGTGCGAGTGCGAGACTCGTCGAAGGTGCGTCGTTTGTTTCCCTTTTTAAACGAGATCTAGAAACAAATAGCAATTCCCTTTGATAAGGAAATTAGATCTATCGATTTGATATTGAACATAGAAGTAAACTCTTCAATAATGCGAATTATATTTATTTGAATTAATTTATTTTATTCAGTTGAATCTGAATAAAATTTTTCATTATGTTTTCTTATTAAAATAAATGCTTCTTTCAATTTTGATTTTACTCAAAGAATGCTAAAAGTGGTCAAGATATTTTCAATCTTGCGGTATGTTAAGATTGAAAATGTATGGTTGCTATATATGAATTATAACTGACCTTACTGCAAAGCAGGTACTATTTATATTGAACATACACGATTAAAAAAACCAGTCCACCAATCCTTTTATTTCATGTAAAATATCATTTAGTTGCTTAATTTTCAGTTCTTAGCGTTTAGAAGAAAATATGTATTAAGTTAGAAAATTAAGAAAGACATTTAAATTTTAAATAATAATATAAATAAACTAACATTCTTCTAGTTACAATAGTTTTTTTAAACACTTTAATATGTTTTAAAACTTATCTTTGAGAGACGAGAAAACGAATAAAAATATGTAGCTATAGGATATATATTTTGAAATTCAAGTCCTTGCAAAACATTCAGAACTGATACTTGTCCACTTGTAGCTCATTTTACTGATACTTGTCCACTTGTAACTCATTAAGAGCGAGCTCATTAAAATATGTTGCCATTTGAGTTTAAAGTCTATGTGCATCAGAAGTTGATATACTTCACTTTATTTTTAGAGTCTTTCAATAAATGGTAAAATACTTCTAGAATCATTAGGTTATTTTGACGTTGGAGACGTGAAAAATGAGCAATGCGCTCCTCAGGATTCGAACCTGAACCTCTCAAATACGCGCCGAGTGTGTTACCGTTACACCACAAAGGCATGCAGAAAGGAACAAAACAATACCTTATATACTACTTTCTTTTAAAGGGCGACTGGGGGTTTGGGCACCTAGTCGCCAAATCCTGGTGGTGAAGAATCCTCATCCACCACCTTTTTAGCTCGGGCGCCTCTGTAGTCTCATTAGGATTTTTGAAGTAGGAAAAACATGAAAAATGAGAAATGCTCTCGCCTGGACCTCTCGAATACGCGCTGAGTATGCTACCATTACATCACGAAGGCATGCAAAAAGGAGGAAGAAAATACCTTAAATACTAAATTCAAAATTTCAGGAAATATTTTGAAGGCTGTTAAGATATAAACTGTGCAATGAATGCCAAATTTTATTGCACTGAAATAGAGGGTAATTTATAAAAATATGTTTTTATATATTTAAAAAATTGCTCTATGTGTCCAATTTTAATGACAAGAGAGACATCTAGATTATTTTATTCCTATACCTCTGCCAACTCATTGTCGATCAGCAGCGATGATACGGATAGGAAGACCCGAGAGAGCAGAGAATGAAGGCACAATGACAACATCCTTGACAAAATGCCACAGGAAAATGTCCAATGATATTAAATCTGAAGACCGAAATGGCCAGCATGTTCAAGCGTCATCGACTTGCTCTGTGCGTCCTACCTATTTGAGAGGCAAAGTTTGGTTCAGATGCTCTGGCAAAGGTTTTTCCCTTCATGGTAAATTTTGACAGAGATGTTCTCTTTAGTATTATGTCGAAAAAGTCTCTTATTGAAAGAGGTAATTATTGTATAAGGTATTTTCTCCCTCCTTTCAGCATGCTTTCGCGGTGTAAAGGTAGCGCACTCGGCGCGTATTCTAGAGGTCCAGGTTCAAGTCCCGGTGAGAGTACCAACAGTGGCGCCCGAAATGAAAGGTGGTGGACGATAATTTGTCCCCACCAGGATTTGGTTATTGGTCCATTATCTCCGGTCGCCCTTTAAAAGGGAAAGTATTTCCTTCGTGGTGTAACGGTAACATACTCGGCGCGTATTCGAGAGGTCCAGGATCGAGTCCAGGTGAGGGCATTTCTCATTTTTCATGCCTCCTGCTTCAAAATAACCTAATGACTCTACAATTTTTCTTTCCATTCAAATCTGGCATAAGACAGCTTGTCCAAGCAATATCTTCTAGCGATGCATAGATATACGTCCTATCAGGAAAGGTGGACACATCAAGCGTTTGTGAAATATGAGAAAAAGCAAGTAATGCGTGAGTTTAACTCTGTTTCAACATGATAAAATTTGATACAGCTGCATATTTTATCTGCTAGGAATTTTTTTAATGTTTCAGTGAATTATAAATTATACTGAAAAATTTAAACTAATGTGTAATATTAATGTTAATATTAACACAACAGATACTTTTGTACTTTGAAATTCATCAAAACATCCTGTTAACACAAAACAAACAGATAAGAAAAGAACAACGATTAACATTATTTAATTTATTTTGTACTAAAATATCTGTACAAAATTGGCTTCAAATAAACAAATACATCTTTTTTATGAAAAACTATAAAATATATATTCCCGTAAGTTTCGCTAACTTTATTACAACATAGTAAATATATTTCAAGTGTTAATATGCAACACATATGTAAACGTTTGTAAAACAAATATTGTAATATTTATACAATTCTGAAAATTGTTGATTGAATCATAAAACTGAATCAAAACATTTTCCTGTGATTTCTAACTATCGCTAGCAAACATATCGTTTGAAACAGAATTATGAAAGCTAGAAAGATGATATTAAGTAAACGATTAAAAAGTAGTGGGAAATTTTACATGAAGGTAAAAAAAATTAAATTATTGTAATGCATATTACTTAGCTTTCATTATTCAAAAATAAGTTAAAAGATTTAAACACTTCATAAACAGATACTTTTCTATCAGTAGAACCTCATGAGAAAGGTTCTAAAATGTTATGCCAGATGTTTCTTCCTGGGAGATATATTTAAAAATTCTTTTTATAATGTAAAGTTAAGATGTGTTTTCTGCTTGCGTATTTGTTAAAATGCATTTTAAAATTGCTAAATTGTTAAAATTTGTATTTTAACTTGTTAAAATGCTCTTGAAATTGTTTAATGCAGGAAGAGAAGCTTTTTATCCATTCGAATTCCTTCGATTGCAATTACATTTGTTACTTTCCGCCAACTTGTCCTTTCTCAGGGGATGCTACCAATGAAACTTCTGCCCACAAGCATCGTATTTTCAACAAAATTAATAATTAGATTACAGATGTTAAAGAGCTAGATTTGTGAAACAAATTTCCAGAGCAAATGAGAGTTGGGTGATTATGATCACAGTTACGCGATGAGCATAATATTCAAAAATACAATTAAATCAATCTTGAAAATGCTATAAATATTGTCAAATAAAAGGCCTTAAAACAAATCATATATCAGCTTAAAGTAAATAAGTTAATGATACTTTTCGGGAGTTCAAATAGTTGGCCCAGTGTGTTACGTTCTAAAGTCTTTATTGTCATCTCAGTTTACTTTGGCAACTATTACAAACAACAGTCATTTCTTTTAGAGTGGATGAGGCACTGGACGGACCAGAAGGGGATCTTGATTACGATATCGGTTGCGATGTCTTCGTCCAATCCTCATTAGTTCTGGGAAATCTGCATCTCGTTTGGGCTCATCTGGATGTAATTCTTGATAGCTTTTTGAATCATCATATGCACCATATCCTCTTGTATCGCCAGAACCTCCAAAACCACCTAATCTTTCAATGGTGATATTGAAATTATCGTCAAGACCTCTTCCATCGTCGCCATAGGAGACACTTTGGTATTCAGCACTGTTATCGATGTATTTGTAAGGCTGACTTTTGAAATCTGTCGAATAAGAAGAATCTCCTAAATAAGCGCTAGTGTCATCAGGATATTTCTTGACTTCATCGAGTACAGGATAATTTCCAGTAGCTGGCTTTCTGCTACCATAAGGTGTCAGTGAACTATACTTGGGCCAATCCTTCAGAGGTCCTACTCCTCGCCAGTCGTAGCTTTCAAAACTGTCACCTTGGCCCTGCCCTCTAGTCAGGCTGAGAAGAAGCAAACAAGCTAGGAATCTCTATAAAAAAAGAAACGTAAAAGTTTTAATTCCATGAAGTTAGAATTTCCATTTTATAACAAAACGTATAAGGAATATAGCATTTTTCTGCAATTATGACGAAATTAATACATAAAATAGTTGAGGTTCAGGACTTCATATGACAAAGAAAATTTATTAAAATTTATATGAACTTATAGCTTTAGAAAATGCAAAAATTTATTGATATTTTTTTCTTGTCCAATCTCGCCGAATAGTTAAAACTACGAACCGCTGCAGTTCAAAGCGGGTTTAATTGCACCTGTTGAATGAAAGAGCTGTATGAGATTTTCGTGGCTTTGGTTCGTTAGCTATTTACATACAGGCCGGATTGCTTTAGAAAATTCTCTATGAATGCGCTTCCCTTTTAAACTGAGAGTTTTAGTGTATTTTGGCATAACTGAATAATCTTTATTTAAAAATAGATAAATAATAAATGTGGCATAAATAAATAACAAGTTTGGCGCAATTAAATAAATAATAAATTTGGCATAATTAATAATAAATATTTCACTTTCGATAAATCCAACCTTTTCTTGCCAATTATTATTTCGCCCATTTATAGTTTGACAGCCAAATAGTGTGTTAAGAAATAAAGAAAGTGCAGCAGATTTATCTCTGCATATCCTGTAAAGGGTTGAAGAAAAGTACCTCAAAAATATAATTCTAAAATTAAAAGATGCTTGAAAAATGATTCTAAAATTAAAAATTTTCTTATAAAAATTTATTTATAATTTTGCTATGTTTGTAGCAACCATAATTATTAAAAACTAAAATTTGCTCCTTTACAAACACACTCACATACACTTTTATTTAATAACCCCCATCAGAGTAGCAGGTAGTTCGAAATCCCGACGAATGGCTGGCTGAATAGAAGGTTTCATGGTTTTCCTCATGTGTTATGTGACTACGAGTCAGTTTCCCTTAAAACGTTTTCCACGAAGGCATCTTTACCCTTGGCTTTATCTTAATTTAAAGAATTCATACTTCTTAATAACAGGCGCTTTTGAATATTAGACTTTCTATTTGCAATCATAACATAATATTGAATCATATCATAATATTGAATTTTATAGATTGGTAAAAGTTGAATAATAATTCAATTTAAAATGCATACTAAATACTATAAATATTGCTGTAGAATTTATTCTAACGAATTCAAGCAAATATGGAGACACAACTTTAATATTCCGGCAAAATAATTTTGAAAATATAATAATTAAAAAAATTATTCTTTTTTGAATTTCACAAAAATTATGATAGTGAAACTGGAATCTGGAACAGTGAAAATGCGCCATTTTTTCATGAAGTCATGAATGTGCCAGCTGCATTGTGTTTTATTTGCATTACTTTATATCATTGATGTAAGTAGGGAAAATTGGAAAGTGCAGAAATAAAACTACAAGTTACTTTTAACAACAATAATAATAAAGACAGAATTTCAGTTTTACAAACAATTAAGTCCTTTCACCAAGTGGCTATCGACCTTTTCGCCACACCCTTGGTAACCTAGTGGAGACTGCGTGTACCATTCTCAACCTGTAAGATTTATTATCGTACCCCTCTGAAATGCCGATTTTCAGATAGCGTGAGAGAAATTAGCAGTTATTCCAGACTGAATTTGCATAAGATGAAAAAATAAGTTAGTTATACAAGTGTTCGTAACAGATAACACGCCTAGAACGTTTTGTGATTGCAATGATCTGTATAATAATGAATAAATTTTGATTTTAAAATTCATTTGTATTTATTCATGACAGGTGTTTTATGTTCATAGAGTAACAGGTTTTTACTCTATAGAACTGCCAAGAAACTAGAAAGGTAATGAATATTTTAAGGTTTTCTTTCATTTTTGTAAATATGTTGAAAACTAAATTGCTAGATTAATAGCCCAAACAGGTAACGAATTTCTGCTTAAATAAAAGTTTGAACTTAATTTTTTTAACATAGATTTCCAAAATTAAACACAAAACGTTTTCGATGTTATTGAATTAAAAAGAATTTTTATTTGCATAAAAGTTGAATTTATTAACACAAAATTCCATACATAAAAGGAAGTCGCCATAACATCATCGCATTTGTGTAATTCGTTTTTTAGGAAAGAGCATTTATAGCGGCTAACGAATGACTATGAAATAAACAAAGATCGATGATATTTGTCCTACACACCAACAGAATAAGTGATTCGAATATTTAGAGTCCAGATAATTGAAGGTTTGGTTTATTCAGTTATAGCAAAGCACTCGAGGGCTATCTCCCTAAGGAGAAGGCTGCCTTCGCGGAGGAAGTTTTAAGGGAAACTGAATCCTATCCATGTATCCAAGTAATCTTTTACTCTTGCATTGCCTTCTCCATGAAAATTTAAAATGTCCAGTTTCATGTCAGGCATATGAAGTTTCTGTCCAAAAACAATTTTCATCAATTCATTAATTTGAAAACATTATTTCAAAAAGATAGTTATTATCAGTTACCTGTCATTTACTGCAAAAATAAGAAATATTTTTAAATATTGATGCCTTTGGTGTTAACTCATTCGTTAGAGAGATTGCCCATTTTTATGAGTGTTTTAATAATCAAAACTTCAAAAAAATCCAAAGAAGATAAAATAACAAAAATGAATGCGGGAAGAGAATACCTTCAATTATCAAGCCCACCAGCAGCCAAGAGATAAAATCTCTGAACACAAGTAGTTCGAACCCTGCGTTCTATTTTAGGAGAACGGGCTGGCTGCATGGGTATTTGCATGGTTTTACTTAGTTATTCGAAATTAGGTATTTGAATAAAACTGAACGTTTCTAAGAAACTCTCAGTCACTTTTCATTTTAGATGAAGCGTTTAGAGAAATGTGATTTAAAGAAAATAATTTTAATAATAAATAATTTTAGTCTGAAGGTAAAGTTTTAAATTTTCAGATAGAAAGACAACATAAGGGGTAAACAATTACTTTTATGAATTTTAAATTTTCAAAGAAAAAGATAACGCAAGAGTAAAAGATTATTTTTATGAGAGCTTTAGGCCTTAGTTTATCCGATTGTTACCTGCGAAAGAAAAATTAAAATTATTGTTGATACAAAATTTCCTATTCAAGAATTTTTTGCGCACTTATGTCAAGTGTTTTTCGAAATTTATTAAAATTTTGTTTATTTTTTGTAGATGATTCATTCAGAATTAAATCCGCTGTCATTCAAGTTACTTACAAATTGTGCTTTGTGTTGGTTATATTTTTACTTAGTTATTCGAAATTAGGTATTTGAATAAAACTGAACTTTTCTAAGAAACTCTCAGTCACTTTTCATTTTAGATGAAGCGTTAAGAGAAATGTGATTTAAAGAAAATAATTTTAATAATAAATAATTTTAGTCTGAAGGTAAATTTTTAACATCGAAAACTTATTTTTAAACCTGATAAAATGTTCTAAAGAAAAATCATTCACTGCTGCTTGCTACAAAACATCATAATGCAGTCAGAATATTTTATTTATAGTAAGTTCACTTTAGCACGCATATATAAATAATATAAAATAAATGAATAAAATTCAGAAGGAAATAGAGAGAGAAAGGAGAACGGTTCTGTATATAACTTTGTTTATCTTACAGGAAGAAAGGACCCTCCAATGAAAGCTTTTACTTTTTGAACTTGATTGTTTTAGTTTTCCCTTTACATGTTATTTAAAAATAAGGTAAAAACTATTTTAGACAAGTGACAGCTTCTTTTGCCCAAATAAAGGCAATCTGTAAAATTTCCAGTTAAAAAGTATTTCTTTTCCTATCGCACAATACAGCTCTGTGCAAAAATAAATTTTCCTTAAACACTATCATTTCCACAATAATATCTTTTAGAATAGAAATAGTGTCATTCTTATAAGACGAATGTAAGCTACTTTCTTTTCCATTGATTTTTTTAAAGTTAAAACGACTTGTTGGCACATTGTTTTATTACCTTGCTAGAATTTCCACTTTAAGTAAAGATACCTTGTTGACACCAAAGTCATTTATTTTGGCCTCGAAAAATAGAGTAATTGCTATGAAATGGAAAAGAATTTAGAAATAAGTATATCAGTCGTTTATCAGTCATGAAAGAGTTTGATTAAAGAAAAGTAACGCTTGTGAAATGCACGAACATTTCTTGCTAAAAAACAATGGGAAATTTATCTGATGTTGCAGACGTATTATCATATTCACCTGGTTAAGGAAATAAAATGATTGTCTCACGCGTATTGCAAGCGTATTTTACAGTGTATTGATCTGCGACTTTGTGACTTTGCATGAAACATATATAGTGTCACATTCTTTTAAGAAAAATATCGCGATTTGGTTGGATATGGTGGCTTGATAAAAATACTGAAATGTAATATGTGATATTTCGTTTCGGTATCTTACTGTTGAGTTCTATAGTCCCCAAATATCGTTTTCACTTAATTTTTTTATATATCTTTAATAGTTGATTACCTTAATTTTTTTAAATATTAAATAAAACTACTTATCGATACAAAGGTACAAATAGAGATAATAGATTATTTAAATATAATCTAATTTAACCGGATTTAATTAAAACCGTATGAATCCCAATTACTTCTAAACTGAATAAACATACGCTATGAAATTTCTTATGGTAACCTGGTAACGTTTTAGAAAGTTCACATTTGAAAATGCTTAATAATATTACTAAGAGCATAAATATAGGCATCGTATACCTCTCTCTAAAGAGACTATATCCACAGAACAAAATCCCTTAGAACTATCTTAGGAAGGTTTCATTGTATTTCAAAATCTGAAGAATGGTTATTTGTTAATATATTTAATGCATAGTGAATAACTAATAACTTTTTTCTGATTTCAGGTAACGAAATTCAAGGTCAAAAAATATAACTAATTTCGAATTTTGCAAAAAATACCCTATTGTACCAATGTAGTGACATATATGTGAACATTGCATTTTTATATTAAAGATGAAATTGATATGCTGTTCTTCTTCCTACTGAT